TAAATACAGATTAAACTCACTGTGTCTCTGCAGCTACATTATGTATTTCTTGCATTTCCACAGATGACTTGGTGTGACATAAATGTGTTGCAGTATGAGGGTATTCTCAGAATATTATCAGGTCGAAGCACATTTCATCTATGAGTGTACAGTCCATTATGAGTCACTCAGAATCAAACCTCTGTCATTTTGATCTGACTTTCCACAGTCATGCATAGAAAAATGCACCACAGAAGAAGAAGCAATGCTCATTTCTCTACAGAGGCATCAATAAAGCAGAATGCTCTGCAGCCACAGCTTGCATCTTTGCTAATTGCTAGTGTGAGAAATCCATCAAAGTCTTTAAAAGCTTTTTTCCCCTAATTTGAACAATGAGGTGCTATGGCATTGTTTATCCCTCAGTCTCACAATGCTATCATAATGTAGTCTTAATGTAATGTGTGAAGGCTGTTGAAAAGCATCTTGAAACATGCAGGATCAAAGAGGAACAGTATTTACAACACTTGAAACAATTGATATCCATTAAACAAGATCAGTGTCATAGAAGTTTAACAGCTAAGTAGAATTTACCTTAAATCAAAATAAAGTGGCCCACTCCTGGTGCCTGTATTGTCTGGAATTGAGTTTGATGGTCTCAAAGGTGTTTCTATGGTTTCACACAGTGCATCTCTGTATGAAATTTGGAAGAAAGATTCATTCAGCTCCACACAATGGCTAACAAAGAGGGCACTGAGCCCCAGCCAAATATCACAAGTTACATTGAAAACAAACAAAACGGTCTTGCTGCATACTGAGGAGGCAAAACCTCCCCAATGGCTGATAACAGCTCTGGAGGATTTAGGCGCTGTGGGAGAAATGGCTTCTGTGGCTTTGCATTCAAGTCACTTGGCCATTTGGAGCACCAGGAAATGACACACATTCCTCCTTCCCAGTAACAAAATAAACCCAAATCTTGCTTCCTACTATTTCTGCACAGTTACGTCCACAATTTCAGTGTTAATTACTTTGCTTGAAGTCGTGAAATTGATTTATGGTCTTGATTTCGGGGCACTTTGAGGACACTTGTATCAAAATCGGCTTTAAATACAATGCAGTTAACAGCATGCCAGTATATCTAGTTAGAGAGAATAAAATGCAGTAAAGCATTTTGAAACCACATGTTTCTGTAGCATACTCTGCAGTTCCTGTAAGTCATTTATGAGGAATAGAAACACACACACACACACACACACACCACATGACATCCATATAGAGATAAAGCCTCTCCAGCTCAACCATGTTTCTGGCAAGATTTGCAAAAATGCAAAAGTGTGTAACTCTTGGTGTCCTGAATCATATCGTGACCAATGGGAACACTCTACTTTCTCAATCTCCACTTTTCTGAAGCTGAACCGGCTGCTAATTCTGACTCACAAACGTACGCGGCAATGACTAATCGTTTCACATCCCTTTGTCTCAATATACAACTGCTTACAATGTGCGTTCTCCAAGGGCCTACCTTCCTATTTTGCAGATGAGTAAATACACCCGGTTTTGATGACACACAACAAGCTATTTTTGATCACATTAGCCTTCACACGCTCTCATGAGTGGCAGTTTTTAGGTGTTTCTTGTACAGCTGTGCTCAGAGTCTCACAGGCTTTTTAATTGACAGAAAATATTTCAAACTATGAAAATATCACAAGTTCACTTGATCTGCCTCGCCAGCTTGTGGAAGGGCTTTTTTTTTATAGCTTCTAAGTATTTTCCACTTCATTTGACTGTGCCTGAAGGTATATTAAAACCATTTTCATAAAGATTTTTGAATAAGCCCTTGAGATGTTTTTTATAGCCGGGGTTTTGAGCAGTGTAGATAGACACATCAACGGGCTGTTTGTGTGTGTGTTGGGGGTGAGGGAGTAAGTAATTACAGTTGTGTGTGTAATTGAGTTTTCCTGGATTCCGGGTGAAAGTCTCATCTGACCAACGGAAATGCGTTGTTTGGTGCTCTTTTTTAGCCCGGCATTACATCGCAGGAAAGGAAGAATAGTTATGGTATCAAAGCAGTTTCAATCTTGGTGTGATTTTAGCGGATATTAAACGCTTCCAAAATTAGTCACACCACTTCCCACAACCCCAGAGTCCTCAAAAGGTGAGAAAACGATGGAATTTAATTGAATTTTACTCACACTGAAGCATCTTTTCCGTGTAACATCTTTTGAGACGAAGAAGAAGTTGTAGGAGGTTAGGGTTAAAACACTGGTAAATATATCAGTCTATGCAAATCAGCTATCAAATGGAGTCTGGCTTTTTTTTTCTGGTGGTACAAGAAAGCAAATCTAGTGCGGATGATCTCTGTGTGGGCAGGAAGCCTTGAAGGTTTGCATCATGTCTGCCACGTTCTCCCCGAGGGCATTCAGCCTCCTTACATGCAGAAACACACACACACACTCGCGCACGCAAGTCACCGTTTTTCCTCACAGCGCGGCAGGAGTCTGTCTTCATCTGTCCTATTGATTGATGAAGCAGGCGCAGCGGGGTGTCCGAGAGAGGCAGGAGTCTAGATCAAGGCTGTGCGTGCTGCATCACTGGCAGCCACAGCACACACACACACATCCGCACGCACACACATTAGCACTCACCCTCGCACACTTTTTTCGCCATCTCTGTCATGCTCTTTCTGTCTGTCACAGCACACACTGTAGACACAGGCAGCCATGACACACAAGTGTACACACATGCATACTGAGAGACATGACACTCACAGCAGTGCTGACACACACATCATGTCATAGCTTACAAACACACCCAATCACACTTACACGTACACACACGCGGCATGAATTAGCATGGCTTGGCTGTGCGTGTGCCTAAGCTGGACAGACGTTTTCTATAAACATAATGTTTGTAGATTAGTTGGGGTTAATGATCCGATTGCCTCGGAGCTGCCACGGCGTCTGTGTGTGTGCGCGTGCACACGTGTGTTTTTGGCTGAGGGGAAAAGGCGCTGCTCTACTGCGCTGTCTCCCTCACTTCCAAATGAGACATGCCCCAGGCACCATTACAAGAGCAGTATTTATGCTATTAGGGTACTGGGTTTGCCGCGGTAGCAGTGGTACCAGAATGAAACAGCTAAAATTATGTTTTGACTAACCTCAATGGGCAGGTCCAGTATTTTCTTTGCATAAATGAGAAATTAAAGGTTGTGTACTTAGAGGCTATTTTTACAAATCGCCTGTTTGGAATATTACGCACATTATTTCTGAGCCATGTAAATGTAAAAGCCAAGGAATAGAGCTTTTCTTTGTTTTAAGTGTTTGTTCTCTCAGAGCCTAAATAAAAATCAGGAGTCAGAGTTTTTTTTCCCCCTCTCTTCTCCATCTTTACTTTGGTGTTTAAAATTAGCTCCCCAGTCCAAACCAGAAATAGTCCTCTGCAAATGATTTTCTTCGACTCTCAGTCAACTGAAGTCGGCGGGTTCACTGAGGGTGTAGTCCCTCCAAACCCCACCTACCTCCTCCCCACAAACACACTCTGAGAAGCCCCTCTCATGTAATGCTGAATGGACAGAAAAGTGCAGAAATGAAAGAGAGGAAGAATGACTGAAAAAATGAAACTCTTTCCCCAAAGTGACCCCCCACACCCTCCACCTACATATTTCTCTCCTATCCCTCCCTCCCTCCCTCCCACCCTCCATCAGTCGTTCCCTCCCTACCTCTCCTCCGGCGTTCCTGTCGAGGCATGCCTCCGTCCCCGCCAACCAGCATCGTCCGGGGCAGGGCGAGGGGGCAAGAAGAGAGGAGGGGGGGTGGGGGGGGTGGGGGGCAAACAAAGGAGCACTGTTGCTGCCTCGCTAGGGTTTTGCGGAGGGTCGACACCAGGCTGGAGGGGTGCTAGTGGGTGGGTGGAGGGGTACAGACAGAGCGAGAGTGTGACTGAGGAGGTTTATCATTAAGAATAGAGATTAAAATGAATGGGAGGGGAGCAGGGGTGTCTGTTCTGTTCACAGTAATAAAGAGGACAAGCAGTGCCAGTCATTTTTTCACACGCACCAAGACACACACACACACACACACACACACACACACACACACAGTTGCCACACTCACGCAACGCTGCAGTTGGTGTGAGTGAGTGAGTGTGAGAGATAGGGGAGGGATGGGGATGGTTCATTGTTTCCTTGCCATTGTACAATATTTGCTTAACCCTCGTGCTTTATCTGTGCAGCTGTATGCTACAAATGAGATGAGCGCAAAGCGTGTATGTATGTGTGTGTGTGTGTGTGATGCTGCTGTCACAGCTGTTAGCAATTTCATCAGTGTACTGTAAGACACCACCTACACACACGTACACACAGACCCCGTCAGTTTACGAAGCAGTATGGCCATGATAAAATCATTCAAGCACAATTACACGTCAACTTAGTCTCCACAAACAAAAAACCCAACAATGAAACAGACACAGTAACAAGCCAGCGCAGGTATGCAAACTGTAAATGGCAATCATGCAGCCATATAGCAGCGTAATAGTTATAATTCCATGGCTCCTTTTTGCCACTGGTTGCTAGTCAGTGCTCCCTGACCCCAACTTGAACCTCATTCCTCCTTACATTGAGCAAGCTTGCTCCACTCTGCAAATACATCGCTGGTTGTTGTCGCTCAGCATTGCTCAGATTTTCAACTGTATGCTTTAAAAACAGTTACCCAGCACAACATAACAAGATATATCCTGACTCTCAAAGGTCATGTAACACATTCTTCTTTCATGAACCGCATCGATTTGTAATCTAAGCGCCCATCTTGTTCATACATTCCTTACTACACACCGAGTAAGAAACTGTTTTGAAAGATAACGGAATTTTAGAGGCAATAACTGGAATCCCACAGGGCCTAACTGTATGAATGGAGTATTATATATATATTTATTCTCCTTCATGTGTGGTGCTGGTAGAGATATCTCCAATCCCAACAGTTTCTTAATGGTTCGTTTCCCCTTTCTGTCTTTTTCCTTGTCCATGAAAGGAGCTGACATAAGAAGAAGAAACAAAAGGGGCGCTAGCAGCGTTAGCCTTGACCGCAGAGGGAAGCGCGGGAAGCAGAAGAGCAAACAAGGAAAACACAAGAGCGATGAAAGAGAGGTAAGAGAGCTCGGTTTGCCCTCGGGTTATACATTGTGTGTGTGTGTGTGTGTGTATGTGTGTGTCCTCTGTTGCCCTTCCACCTGATTGCCTGAGTCAGCTGTGTACCTGGGGTGGGTTTGTTGTTTGCATGCGTGCGTGTGTGATTTTGTTCTGTGTTTGAGTGCGCGTCCGTGTTTGTTTTCGTGTGTGTCCCACGCGGGGAGCAACAGCTGCCCAGTGATGAACAACCATCTTGGTTGAGTCACCTGCTGCATCCTCAACATTTCTATTGTCTTCATCTCTGTTTCCTCTTTATCTGTTTTCCATTTAAATTCATTTATCTGCACTAAAGAAGAAACCAAAAGCAATACTCATCTCTCTTTATGTTGATATACTTAATGATTTATATGATTAGGTCTCCTGTAACAGTCTGACATTAGATTTAGTTGCAAATTCAGAATTTATCAGGAACTTTATTTCGTTTCTTTTAATATTAAATAGGCAGTTTACGGAAACAATTACAAATTAAACAATTTAAATCAATGGAAAATCTAAGAAAAGCACTCAACATTTGTGTTTGGTCATGAATGCTGATTAGTTATACAAAAAAAAGTAAGAAAAAAAGGATTACAATATGGAAATATCTTCATCAGCAGGGGCGCTGACACCAAGGGAGCTGTCCTGGGCCCTCTAACCTTTAAATTATCTGCTGTATTAGATTGTCAAAAACATGAAAATATGAAAACATGTAGTTTTTGATAGCATGTCTCTAATATGAACGAATTTTGGTGGTGGGGTTACCTTTTTAGCTAGCCTATATTTGAATTAAACAGTACATGGGAGAGGAATGCTCTTTTGCCACATGCAGATGGAGTATTGTTCTTGTTAAACCCACATCCCACTCGTTACCACATTCAGTCCCCACCTGTGCTATCACATGTTTTTTTTATATGTGTGTCAGAAAACAGAGAATCCATTTCATGTTGTGAGGATTTTCCAGCATCCATCACACTTTTAAAGTCCCAACATTTCAGGGATGCAGGGAGTAAAAATAAAAAAACCCTTGGAGAACAGCATAGCCCAAAGGCAAAACACAGGAGTGAAACTGGGAAAAGAGCCACCTTATTGTTTCAACTGTGTTTCAGCGCTTCCCATTGCGAGCAGTCTCTCAGAGAATAATCTTCTCACTCTCTCTGTGTGAGGCTGAAAGCAGCAGTAAATCATTTTCTACCATGCAGGCATGGCCAGAATGGCTGCCACCATACACAGATAGGGGGATGGTTAAAGAGGAGAGGCAGTGTGAGGAAAAGAAAATGTTGTTTTTCTCAGTTCTTGTCATCCTCCCTTCTGATGAGACTCTCTTCAACCTCAACCCTCCACCCAGAGGTTACAATAGCAATGGTGGGAATTTTTTTGGTGAAGCTTTTTTTCCCAGTCCAGGTTCTGTTACTTTAAGTCCTAGAAGATCCAATGCACTTCATGAGAGGGCCAAACCTACTTCATATATTCATAATTATGAAAGCTGACTTTCTAAAGGTTTCTTTAGTTTCTTTTATCCTCCTCTTCCTTCTTTAGTTGGACCACCAAATGTTTAAGCTTCCCTGAATTGTATGTAGGTTAAAATTAGAGCTGGGTGATGCAAAGTGAATCAAATACAACAATATTTTTTCACCAAATACCTCGATATTGATATTGCGACAATATTGTGGGGTTGATTATTGGTGCTTTCACAGAATATTTCCAAAGTGAGATTTTTGTTAAATAATCATCAGTAATGTGGATAATGCAGCCTTTAAAACCAGGTAAAAAGACGACACTCGTGATATTACGATATCCACAATCTAAGAAAATATCTAGTCTCTCATCACAATATCAATACAATATTGATATATTGCCCAGCCCTTGTTAAAATACTACCATGATATGGCAAAGGGCACAGTGGAAATGCACAAATTAGTATTAAGGGTTCAATGTTCAAGATACTTTTCCAGAAACCCTAAAAAAGGGTGGAAAAGAACCCGTGACTCTTCTAATACAGGACATGATACTTACTGTCTTGCTAGCGTGTCCTGTCAGTACAAATGTCCTCCTCCATCACTCTCTTTTTCCCTCTGTGAGAAATACTTACACTATGAACTGTACCTCACAATGACGTTCTGCAGAAGACAGAACAAATTCAATTCAGCTTATTTCAGTTCAGCTCAACTCATTTCATATCACCCCCTGTCCAGTCCAACTCAATTCTCTTTTCTAGCATTTCATGTCTCTCACTCTCACTTACTTATTTTCAATCTGCCCGAGCCACGCAATCGTCTGTCTTTTCTCACATTTTCTCAACTCCCTTCAGCTATTTCTCTTTCAGCGCTCCCGCTGCTGTTACTTGGCCCAATCATTCTAACGTCCACCACAAAAAAAAAAAAAAAAGTCATCCCGTCATTTTAAAAGACAGGAGACGATGATGAAAGATATTAGGAGGGTTGTGGGGGTACAGAGAAATGAGAAATGATTTAAAAGAGCAGGGGACGATCCTCTAAGGGATTGTGCAATGCCAAAAATAATCCATGTTAATTATTGGAATTCCCCACATTTAAAAAATCTCTGTCCAAATCACCCCATTTGGACAAGACAAAGCTGTTTTTAAATAGAAGTGGGTTTTGAACTTGTTTGAGGAAGAAAGGCCTTCTTCTTCTCCTTTCATCATTCTTTTGATGGATGTGCTATATAGCAACCAACAGGGATTAGTGGAGTCACAAATTGTACAGCTACACACAACCCCATTGTTTTTGGAACTGGTCAAATGATGCAAGCATAGTCTGGGGAAGAAAGAAAGGAAAAAGGTGGAGGATGTTGTAAGCAAGTATCCAGACATGCCACTGCTCTTTCTTCTTAGCCCTTCTTCCTCTCAAGTGTGTCTGCCCTCTGCTCCAGTGGAAGAAGGTCTTTCAGGAGCAGCCGAGTCTGTCTAAGCTGGCTTTAAAAGCTGCAGGACTCGAGAAGCGCCTTGGCTCTCTTTTGGTGTCCGTTTGTGTATACCGAGGCAGGGCTGTAAGGCTGAAGCCACAATGTGTCACACGGTTTCATATTTCAAAAAACGCATATGGGGAAATGACAGGCAAATGAGTCACTCCGTCAACTCATATTGATTCACTGCAGGACTGGGGGACAGAGCGAGTAATTGTCAGTTTCACGCTCACGCAAAATAACCGGCAAATGATGGACGATGGTTTACAATGGTGGGGAGGGACGGGGGGGACATACTCTAGCTGGGGAACGGGCATAAAAGCCTGATGGACAAGTGTCGAAAATGGTAACATTTGTGTCCGCACAAAGGAAAGCATAGAACAACAGAGTGCTCCTCTATCAAAGCCTTTTCCCCCTCAGCAAAGACACCCACCAACCACTAGAGGATTAAAGATTAGAATGAGAGCTTTTATTGAGTTTGAAGCCACAGCAGTTTCAAAATGACTGGATGGATGGATGGATGAGTGAAAGATTGATGGGCATGAGGGGGCAGAGATAGAAAAATTAAAACAGAGAAAGGCAGTGGTGGGTAGACAAGATTTCAGAGAGAGTAGGAATCAACAAGAAAGGAAAAGAGATGGTCGGTGGAGAAGATTTCAAAGTGAGCATGAGAGAATTATCCATGAGAGAAGACCAAAAAGGGGAGAGTTACTGTAGAACTGGTAAATAGAGAAGTGGGGGGGTGAGGGCCAATAGAGCGATGCCTCTAATGTCTTTATAAGGTCATAAAATACTGCACTTCCTGGCCTCTATCTAATTGCTGCGAGGGATGGGATGGGATGGGGGGAGTCTTGATTCTACCTGCCTACTAAATGAGGCCTCTAAATCCTCTCTGCTTGGCCTTGGGGGGCTTTCTTTTTGATTGCTACGAGGGCAATTCAAGGAAGGTCTGTGTTTGAATATTCTGTATTGTTCTTTTGTTGTAGATTGAAGTCGAAAAAGAGAATACAAAGAGAATGAAAAGCAAAGGGAGAAAAGAAAAGAGAGGGGAAACTTCTGTACGTTAATGATCCCCTTAGAGTTATCTGGCCGGAAGAAAAGGTGAATGTAGAGTCAGAAAGTGGAATAAGAAGAAAAATCCAAAGACATGGAACGAGGAGTAAAAATATAATGTACTCATGTGCTATTTCTGACAATAACCACTTGAAAATAAGGCTGAGAAAGAACAGAGTTAGAGAGGGAGTGAGTTTTATTGACTCAGCAGGAAACGACCGTAGAAATGTCTACGCTTCCCCAAGGAGCTGTATGCTGAACTCTTAAAAACGTGAAGAGTAACGCTTGCCATCATTGGAAAGGAAAACATTTTCATTTCATAAACTGCTTGTCTAAGGGACCCTGCCCCAACCTCTAACCCTCAAATAAGCACAGTAACTAACAGAGCCTTCAGAGGCAGAGAAAAGCAACTTGGAGCCAGGCTGAAAGGCACACACTCATTCTAAACTATTCCCCACGTACCTGCAGACGTATTTGAATGGAAAAGCCATAAATATCAGTACTTGTTTCGAAATGAGACAACATCAATTTGAGAACTTTGACAATGTTATGAAATGTTTGGGAGCATGAATCATAAAAGATAGAAGATAAAAACAGTCCTTGCCAAAATAAAAGCTTTTAACTACATCCAGATATTTTAGATTTCGGCTTACCAGATGTCTACAGATATAATATGTCTGTGGGCAGAATGGTAAAATTAAATGTCTCACAGATGAGACAAGATCTTTTAATACTTGATGACATGACTGAAATGCTCAAACAGATTGAAATGACAACAAAAATGCCATATAGCCTCTACTAATGCGTGTTGAAAGGAGCAGTGTGTAGGATTTAGTAGCATCTAGCGGTGAGGATTGCAGATTGCAACCAGCAGTAACTTTTCATATGTGCCAATTGTGAATTCCTGGTTAGGATTCCTTCAGTGTTAAATGTTTGGGAGGTTTTTAGTGGGAGCCGAATTTCCCACAGAGGTCTCCTTCTCTCCAGAGTAAATGGATCAGGTG